GAGTGCTCTTAGTGTGTCTTCAGAGAAATTCGACCAGAATTCTACTACTAAGTTTTAGCAATGAATATGTAACTCTGTGCAAACAAAAGAATTTTCCAACAAAAAACCCAACGTGAATGTACACCAATATTATGTTTATTTACATCCTTACTAAGACAAATAGTAAGGTATTTCAATTATTTTTGTAAGTAGGCACAAATATAATAGCATAAGAAACAGCGGTTATTACAAGACAATCGTCACGTAATTCTGCTCTCATCGACCACACTCTAATAAAGAGCAGTTTGTGAAGTCACAGATTTTTAAAGTAGTTGAAAATCCTAGATTACACAACTGTAAATGCTACTGTCTACAAGTTATTAATCTCTGTCAGATTACCTGAAGTTTCTCAAACTCCTCTTGCTAGTTGGTAGTCTTGCAAGAGAAGTGAAAATTTCTTCTAGTATTAACTGTCTGTGTTTCTCATACCTGGAGAAGACCTATTTAACAAGTTACAGGATTGTTAGGAAAAAATATCACTTGTTGAATATATAGTTAACAATTATATATAGAAAACACACTTTGCATGAATAAATTATAATAAACACACATCTTGTTTTTAATGTATCTGATTTTTAAAAAAACCCAGGCATTTCTTTACAAAAATACATTAAAACTTTTTCAAGTACAGATTTTTTTAAAATCTTCAAATAATACAGGAAATTCAAACGGTGAAAATACTAAGCACATTGCAGTACTAAGTAAAACTCTGTAGTAGCATAAATTACATGAACACACTTACGGTTGTACAGCACATTTGAGAAACCAATTTTACTTTATATCTTAAGCTTTAATGTTACCCTGATGTCCTGGTTTGACCTAAACCAGAACCAGTTCTGTTTAGTGATCTTACTTTTCAGCTTGGTTAGTCTCTTCTAAGAAAATGCACTTTCTAAAATTAATGGCAATTTTTTTCAGGCAGTGACTGCTATTAGAAGTCATAACGCTTAGTGTTTACAGTTACTACCAAGGACTGGTTTGGAGAAAGGCTCTTTCTTATATTTGCTCCTATAGAAACCAAGGTCACAGATAAATCTTATACCCCATGTTGAGGGGCTGTTAAAGTAAAAGGGTGGTAAGTAAGTAAAAGGTTGCACTTGTGGAGAGGAGCAGACAGGACAGGTGATCCAAACTTGACCAACAGAAGTATTCCATTCCATAACTGTCATATTCAATATAGAGCTGAGGGATCACAAGGATTAAGCCCTCTGTCCAATGAGGACTCTGCCCATCCTTCTGCCCTCAATCCCGATTTGTGAGTGCCTGAATCCAGTTCCTAAACTCAACTCCCGAATCTAGTTTCCATCTGCTGCAGAGTCCATTCCGGGACTTTCCCAGCCTGCACGCTTTGCAGCATCTGCACTGACAGTCTTTAGGGAGTTTTGGTTCCATATTGGTTTTGCATATATGCCTATGTATGTATTTATTTTCATTATTTTCTTGTTAGTACTATTACTGTTTCATTAAAGCTGGTTTAGGGTTTTTTGTTTGTTTGTTTCCCAGTCCATAAGTCTCTTTGCCTTACTCCCTTTTCCCTTGCCTTTTGGGAAGTGAGCATCTGTCATTTGTCGAGTGACCAGCTTAGCTCTAACCTGTGACACCTGACATGAAGTATTTTTTTAATTTACAGGGTCAGGACTGTAGATAGAGTTTGCCTCTCCTTTTGTTTAGGCAGAAGACTTTACAAAGATGGAAATCTCCCACTTGCATAAGCACACGAGTTGTGCTGCATTTTTCCTGAAATATTATTTCACACAGCCACCTCTTCTGAGGAAACTAATTTATTCTCGTACATACAAGTATCCTACTAGTTCTAAACCTTGCATAAACTCAAATCTTAACACAGAAAATAAGGAAAAACACATTGCTAAGATTTCTTAAGGACAGATAAGAGGAAGGGATTTGCGATACACTTCAAACAACATAAGTAAGGAACTTCTTAATTTTGGTTAAGTACAATATTTCTTCCTATAGAATATTCAGCAAATATGGGCAGCTCAGGCAGATTTAAAACTGTTCCTAGATTATAATACCAAATTATAAAAACACACGAGAAGAAATATAGTTCAAAATTCCAATTCTCTACTAGAGAGAAAATACAGCTTGTGTAAATGTCCTAATAGCTGTCAGAAGTACAGGAACACGAAAAGTACAAATAAAGAAAAATACTTACTGCGGTGACTAACTTGATGGCACATAACTGAAGTTCACTGACATTTTCTACAAAGAAAGGCGTTATTCCCATTGATGATACCTTTAAAAGGAACGAAAAGTATATTTGACTAACAAACTGATATTTATGCTGTTTCACAAGTAGGTTATTCATTCAGCAGGTAAGGTATTCAACAAAATGTATTACTTCATAGTATTTGCAAATAAAGTTATTAAAGGATACTAGAGAACAAGACCTATGAGGAGCGGTGGAGGGAACTGGGGCTGTTTAGCCTGGAGAAAAGGAGGCTGAGGGGAGACCATATCGCTCTCTACAACTACCTGAAAGGAGGTTGTAATGAGTGGCCTCTTCTTCCAAGTAAGAAGTCATAGGATGAAAGGAAATGGCCTTAAGTTGTACCAGAGGAGGTTTAGATTGGATATTAGGAAAAAGCATCTTCATGGACAGGGTTTTTAATCACTGGAACAGGCTGCCTAGGGAAGTGGTTGAGTCACCATCCCTGGCAGTATTTAAAAGACGTGTAGACTTGGCACTTAGGCACTTGGTTTAGTGGTGGATTTGGCAGTATTAGGTTTACTGTTGGACTCCATGATTTTAAGTGCCTTTTCCAACCTAAATGATTCTATGACTCTACATTGGAATACAATCAGGTCAAACTTTTCTGAAACGTACAAGAAAAGTCATTAAAGATCTGAAAATAAAATGCTCTTCTCCTGCAGATTACCTACTACACAACAAGCTAGTCACTTTGATGTTAGTAATCCAGAAGTTTGCAAAGATTTCATACTTTATGTCACTGAGACAATCCTACTTTACATTCTCTCTGGGAAAAGAAAAACAACAGACCAGAATAATTCTGATAAAGCTTACCTGAAGAATAGTTGTATCAGTAAGAAGTTGTATCTCTAGCAACTCTGACAAGCTGCTGACAATGTCACAAACTTTGTTATACAACATCACTATAACTCTTTGCTTGTGGGTGGAACACTTAGCACGCTTCGCTTTTGAACTTAACACACCACCTAGAAAATAAAATTTATCTTCATTTTTGTCAATGTTCTACATCAAATATTAGAAAGATAACCTTCCTCAAAAGGTGTCTTCAAAACTATTGCATAGCTACAGCTTTGTAAAAACAATTGCTTACAGAAGAAAAATCAACTGGAAAGAAAGAATTTCAGGTGATACTAATTTTTCATAATTGCTTTAAATTCTGATTATTTTCAAAAAGGTTCTTGAAGTTGGACACCCACATCTAAAGGTATGCATGTCACCACAAAATGCTAAATGCTAAATAAATTTCACTGAAATAAATCATTACACAGAGATTATGACTGTCTTATTCCTACATGAAATAACTACATACAGAAGCTGAACTTCAGACAGACTTCTAAATACTTCAGTGTGAATACTTTGTTTACATTGACATTATTGCAGCAAACCAAGGTGTTGTATGACTAAGTTATCAGAGACACATTTAATTCATTAGTTTTTTATGCTACAATTCATCATACTCAAACTAACGCAAAGCATTAATTCAGGATGCTGTATATGATATGGGATAAGTATCAATATAAGAGTTACATATAAAAATCTTATTCTGGAAAGTCTTATCACCTGCATCATCATACAGTAGATTATGTTTTGATATTTTTTTAATGCAGAAAGATTTTTAAAAATTTCTTAGCATACTAACCACCATGAGGATCCACTCTATACACAGGATCATACTGAGGATAGAGAGTGTTCTGCAAATGAAATTTTGTGTATTGAATAACTCTTTCTATTACATCCTCAATATATACAGCTTTAGGCATATTTGGTGATGTCATAATATTGATAGCAGTAAGACAAGCATCAGCAGATTTTGTCAAAAGATCTCTCCATAATCTCTCCTCATCTTCAGTGTCATTGTTCTGTAACAGGCAAGAAATACAGGACAGTGAGAACAAGAAGTCAAATTTTTATCCTTACCAAGTAAAAGATAACAGCATTATCTTAATATACTTACATATACACACATATAAAATGCTGTGTCTCCCTTTTGATACAAAAATAGTTTTAGAAACCAACTAATGTTTGTTTTACTGGTAACAGTTTCTAATATGCCGTGCTAAGTTACAAGTCTTCAGAGTCTAACTGTGGTGTTCTGCTAAAACACGAAGCTCTGTGCATCACTGGGAAGCACTAGGAGAGAAGACTGCCACATGTTCAACTCTGATGTACCTAGCGTCTTCTGTAGTGGCCTATGCACAGTTTGCTGCTTTGATCAGTCTAATTTTTGCCACTAGAGGGACTTCTTACACAAAAAGACTTACAAGTCACATGAAACTCCTAAGTACATTACTTTCTCTGCTTCACAGGCAAACCCACCTATTATCAATGGTTTTAAAAGATGTCCTATCAAATACGTCCATTTAGATTTAGCACTGTGTTTGTACCAGTAAAACCAAACATGCATGAGGTTAACTATCGAGCACTGCTTACACATTGTAGTAACACTATTCATAGCAAAACCAGGTAGAAATTTTCATAGCCTCCCTGGTACAGATATAGCTTACAGAGACAGAGTCTTTCCTGCCTGTATGACAACATAGTTCAACATTGTTGGCTAAATAAGGGGTTGGTGAAACTGTATTATCTTTACTACTTTGGGGTAGGATAATCTAAAACAAAACCATAGTGCATACTATATATATGAGATTTATATTTGTAAAATCAGCAGAAACGTGCAAGTCAGGAGATCCCTGTAATGTCTTTGCATAGAATGGCTTTAAGAGATTTGTTCCTTACACAGATGAGGACCAAAAAGAAACCCAAATAGTTTAAATTTTTTTTTTTTTCTCATTAATCTTCGGAATAAAAAGAATACCCAACGGCACTCTGTCTCTGAGAAGCATCCTGATGTGGAAGTAGGATATCTTCACTGCAAAAGAAGTAAGCTTACTCCTTAGCAGAGGCTTTCTTTTCCATAACAATATGAATCACAGTTAACAGGTTTTAAGAAAAATCTACAACTTGTTTGGGTAAAGATAGCTTCTTTTTTTAATTGAAGCTTTGTCTCTGACTTGGAATCACTGGACAATTTCATTAACTGATAATTCTGAGTTCTACTACAAAAAGCTAAGTATTTGAAACTAAAAATAGAATTCAACTGAAGAAAGCAGTATTCTACACAATGTTGTGGTATTTTGTAACTTGAAACTCACGTGGTTAAGTAACGTAGAAAGCTTTGATCCATCTTGAATATTCTTCTCCAAAATATTCAGGACTTTCACTGTTTTATCTGTTGAGAGCTAAAGCAAGAAAAGGAACACATCAAACAACTCCTGAAAATAAAGGCTGACAAATTGCTGAAAAGAATGACAATGGAAGAAGGACCGAACTAGTTATATAATCTTAAATACTGAAATTTGAGATAAGGACCGGATCTCAACTTTCTGTGGTTTCACAGCACAACTGAGAATGCTGATAACTAAAGCAGGTGAAATAGAATGAATTATAGAAAGGCCTAGGCTGGAAGGGACCTTAGAAATATATTCTAATATTGCAATCAAATTGGATTTTCAACCAGCAAAATCCATAGAAATAGATTTTAAATTGTGACAGAGACTTCATAAACACAGTAAGTGCTCATGAACAGGCAGAATAAGAGTTTAACATAAGATTGCCCAAAGCCAGGAGTTCCAGGAAGATAAGGAAAGAACATTTTTTCTAGAGGTGAATACCAACAGCCTGCACCAACAGTCCTCTTGGAACTGAAGTCAGGAAGAGTATTGCAAAGAAATGACAATATGCAGTCTACAGAAAATGGATCTTATTATCACTTGGGTTGTTCTAAGTCTGAAAGGCCCTTCTGGTGAGACGAAGGAAGCAGGCAATTCAGCGTAGTGCTGGCTGAACATCATACATTTACATTGCACTGATGGCATATAACAGAAAGGCTGGAGATTTATTTTTTTTTTACTTTGCCAGCAGGTTCTGATTTACTATGGTTGCTGAATGCCAGCTGTAAGGAGCAAAGCCTATAGGTTGATGTGCTTTTCTGAAAATACGTTAACTATTTCAGATTTTACTCCTCGGGCACAGGTATTACATACCAGCACACAGTCAGCATTGACAGAGAAGCTGAAGGAGCTGGGTGTCTTTAGCTTGGACAATAGGAGGCGGAGGGGTGACCTCATCCATGTTTATAAATATATCAAGGGGGAGTGTCAGGAGGATGGAGCCAGGATCTTTTCAGTGACACCCAATGACAGGACAAGGGGCAACGGGTGCAAGCGCACAAGTGCTCCCTGTTATCTGTTACACGCACACCCGAAGAGGGTACGTTTCGTATATTTATCAAAATTTTATGTTCAAAAAGACTTAAAGACTATGAAAATATACCTTGTCCATAATGCCCATTGCCTTGATTTTTGCAGATTCACTACCCAACTCACTAAGCTGATGTTTTCCCAGCAGCAATTCCTGTGGAATCTCATCATCATCGCCTTAGAAAAAAAATTAAAAATTAACAACCATATTTCTAATTAGATTTCAAGGAAATTAGCATTTTAGAGTCAATATGAAAAAGTCAATTGAAGAAAAAAAAGTCATTTTCCAAATAGCTAGGATCTAATCATTCCAAATAGATAGCATCTAACAGTTTTATCTAATGAAGACTAATGATAACAACTTTTGGTTGTGTTAAAACAACAACTACTTGTTAAATATGACTGGTTGTGAAATACCACTTAACAGTCTAACATGAAGCATCCACTTCTGAAAGCCATTAACTAAAATTTTTTAATATAACAAAGTCTATGTATTGCACCTCTTCTACCCTCATCGTCATTTCAGTAAAACAAATCTTAAATGACTGTAGTCCTACCTCAAGTTCAAATGTGGATAAGGGCAAGAAATGAATAACACATAGGCAATTACGTACTTCAGGATACACTGTGTCTTAGTTATATTTACCATTACCAAAACCCCGTGCTCTTACCAGACACAGAAAGAACCAATGACTTCACTTAAGGCTAAGGTTGCATATACTATTACTTTAAAAACTGTAGTGATTTGTTAACTACGCTCCTCCCTGTGTTCTAATCCTGTGGCAAAGATATGAACAACCTATTATCCATTTCAATAGAAAGTCACCTTACTCAGTCTGAACTACTCCTCAAGAGACTCTAAGCTGGCTGTTTTTCCACTGAAACGGATAAGGAGCACACAGTGATTCAGTACCTCAGCTATAAATACATAAGGACTCTGCTGCTTGAACTGAATAATCATCTATTGGGACAAAAACCACAACAGATGCAAAATTATGTGCCTCAGACATTACTAGCAAAAGAATCGTATTATGCTAGTGTTGTTTGCAAAGTTATGTTTGTAAGAAGGAAACGTCCTATGGACATCCCAAAGAGGTACCCTTTCACTCCAGGAAACTACTGCTTGTCTTGCTATGATTTGTGCCCCTTTTGGATTCTGCACGGAGGAGGAAGATCATCTTGCAGTAGCATATCCTCTTGGAAAGGCGAAGGATGCCACTCAAGGTAGGAGCCATACAAACACAGTATGCCCTAGCATGTATCAGTGGCAATTAAAATACCAAGAAGGCAGTTTGAAACTAATGAGTTATAAATATTTTTTTGTATTCTTGAGCTTGGGGAAAGCATTTTGAAACTTCCTGATACATTACCAAAAGCTGTAAAATCCATATCTTCCAAATTTTCCAAAATATTCTCTATTGAAGCAGTAAACCTTTTAAAAGTTGAAGAATCCATCATTTCTGGTGAAAAAAGAGATTTATAAATAATTATTTTATATACAAAACAAAAATATAAACTACAGAAAAGAAATCTTATAAAATTACCTTCAGGTGTTAGTTTAGGTTCATAAGATTTCCTCTTCTTTTGTTTTTCTTTTTTCTTCATTTTTCTAGCCACTAATTAGGAGTATAAAAAGTCAAATAAATACCTCCTAAATAAACAAAGGACTATTTACATTTCTTAAACTTCTATTCAGCAACGTAGGTAAAGATCTTTATATCAAAATGTTTAATGTGTCTGCTAAAACCACACTAGTATTACAGAATAAAATTACTAAAATGATCAGTTACCCTCACTGAGGCTAGGGGGAGGAGAATAATCATCCATATCAGAGTCATCAGGACTGCGGTTACGGTAACGACCACTACCAGAAATCCTCCTTCCTTCATGATAATGACCACTTCTCTTATGGTCACCAGAACTTCTTTTGTCATGTTCTTCATACTCCCAAGCTTCATCTCTATCCTTTTTATGTCTTTTACGAGAAGCTAGAAAGTAAATGCATTTTCATTATAAGTACAAAAATTCTATTTTCAATGCTCCAAAACTTTATAAACATTTTAAAAAATTTAAGAGAAATGAAGATGTGGCACTTAGAGACATGGTTTAATGGTGGACATGGCAGTGTGAGATTTGGTGGTCTTAAAGGTGTTTTCCAGCCTAAAAAATTCTACGATTTGCAAGTTAAACACTACTATATAGTTGTTCTACAGAACAAGTGAACACTTTATTATATAAAATTCTGTTACAGCATTACACTAACCATTTCTTTCTAAATTACATGAAAACTGTGCCTGAAACTGGGAAAGACAGGAGCAAACAATTGAAAATACAAATTTACAGGACATTTGTCCCTTTAAGCAAAGTAAGGAAAGCAGAACAAATCAAAGTAAGTCTCATCCTTTCATAAGCGAATATTGAGATAATCTCCTCACTACTACTGGATTGTCCATATTCCAGTTCAGTGATTACTTGCCCATCTAACACAGCAAGTTTCAAAGAGACTTGGCAATATAGTTGCTTACATATATTCTGTTTTGTCAAGACAACTAAAATTTTGTCTTGATATGTATTGCAGCAAATTTGGTGTAAAGGAGAAAGCTGGAGTCACAATTCTGGACCAGACAGTAAGTTAAAATCTCAGACGGTTATTATAACCAGTCTTCAGTCAGGACCAAGTGAATACTGAAGAAACTGGGATAAACATTTTATACAGAAACAGAGATTTAGTAGAAATAAAGTGAAGGAGCAGAATGGAGAGTTCTCTGTTACTTTCAGAGAAAATCTTGTGTGTCTTGAAGTGGGGAGAATGTGCTAATCTGTAATAGAAAAAGGATATGAGGGAGGAGAAGGTACCTTCCTTCATGAAATCAGACAAGTCTCCATTATCTAATGTAACAGGGTAACAGGGCTAGCAAAGAGCAGTCTAACACAGACTGTGCTGTGAAGATCAAAACAGCTCCAAAACATCATGTTCTAGAGTAGCAGATTTTATGCTTGTGAACCTGCATATAACAGGAACTAATTCAGTTCAGTCTTTGAGCTGTGCTGCTTCTAGATCAGGCTTGCTTCTGGGGGCTGTACAGTCACACTCATGACGCCTGAGCTGCTAACACCAGAACGGCTCAGAGTTAACGTGACTGAAGAAATGGAAGGCCAACTTGGATAGCTCGAGTGTGACTACTGGAGAACAAAGCAAGACTTGACACATCTTAACCAGTTCCTTCGTCCCCATTAGACAGTATTTTGTGGAGATGACGTCTGTCTTCCCAACTTACAAACCCTCAGTATCAATTTAAGCTCCGTAGCACAAATTCTGACCCCAGCTACATCTCCATGAGAAAAATAACTTCCAATATTGCTTTCCAACAGAAATTTCAATTAGCCAGCTTAGCAATGCTGTATGGCAAAACAGAGTATGTTACACATGTGCTAGGTCTGCAAGGAAAGTAAGACAAACATGAGAACAGCTATTCACAATCACGTCTCTACAACATTTATTTTGAAGTAGATAAAAAATTAAGTATTAATAACACTTCAGGAGTTATTGATTTTATACATAAATAAAGACTATTTGGAATTTAAATACCCAATTTCCTTCTGAGTTCTGTCAAACATTTATGCAATTTTAATACCTATTGTATGAGAATTTCGTAAATTTTTAATTATTTGTCATTTAAGTTAATGGAATGTCCCTTCTCAATGAGATACTCAAATTTCTTTTCTAAAAATCATTCTTTCATATTTTTTAATGTTCAATTTTAGACAATCAAAAGAATTCCAAAATACATATTTATAATGTATCTGTTCAGTGTACTTGTCACAAGACTTTAATTATCTTGAACATTTTGTCTTGTTTTAATTCAATTCAGTTGTATAGCACTCTTTGGGAAATATTATAATTTATTTTTAAAGCAGATGTCCTCACTGAAATGTTTATAATGGTGGCCAGATCTCTTGAGTGGGTATAATGAACCTAGAATCATTTAAAGCATATAATTACTGTAAAAGTTTTCCTTCATTTGCTTTACTTTGTATTTAAGAATTTCAAAATCCATTGTAGCTAATAGGTACACTAAGGTATCTGAAATTCTTGACAGTTCTCTCCATTCCCAACCAACTTAAATAATTTTGCTTTACTTATGTTTTGAGGTCACTGTTCCAGGTTAACATCATAAATAGGCAATGATATAGTATACAGAGAATATAGAATCCTGAATGAAGTAAACCATCATTAATCCTTTGCCATAAACAAGACCGATTACAAATTACCTCACGATCTTACACTCACACTCGAAGCAGAATTATTCTGTTAAATCAAAAGGAAAAACAAACAAAAGGACATTCTTTTCTGCTTCTTCGATAAAGATTGGAGTTATTATAATTTTTACATGTATGTGTGTATAAGCATTGTGTATCTGTTGGACAAGAACTTTAAACATATTAAACAGCAGAACAAAGAAATCTTTCTCTTTTGGACCCTAAGAAAGTCTAAAAAGCAAAACATTGTGTTCTACAAAAGTTCATTAAGATGTCTATATAAGCAAAGTTGAACAGAGTCTAAACTTGGGGAAAAATCATAAGCAAGATGTCTTCTCCAGGTAACAGCTACAGACACTTCTGTAGCTGTTACCTGTACAGGGCTAAACTGTTAACTCGGTCTGAGCTTATTCACTTTGTTAACAGAGTTTTTTTCCAGTGTTGATCAACTACCATAGAGACAAACTAACCAGAATCCATTAGCAACCAGGAAATCCCTTCCTAACTTAGAGGCACAGAATATTTTTTCAACACTTAGGAACTTTACCTGACTGCACAGCCAAATTCTAACTACGAGCTTACTCTCTGCCTTTGTAAACTGTTAATTCAAGAACAGTATCATCAGCAAATGGTACTTTGTGGACCCATCAACAGCAACTTCAGTTTTTCAAGAAATATGCCAGAGAAATAATAGAAAGTCCTGGGCACTAAGATTCTCAATGTATCATGTCAGAAAAATTCAAAAGGAGACCCTTCACTTTTCCTATCAATAACTCTAAGATTAATTTTATTTTTTTTTTGCATACCTTTGTATGCAAGTTCTCAGTGCTGCTTTAGAGGATATTTTCCTTAATCTGGCTAGCTAAAAATGCTTCATAGTACAACTGAAAAAAAAAAAAAAAAAAAAAATCGAGACAGCAGCTTCCAAAAAGGAAGAGAAATTTAACAACTCACTGTTTTTCATCCTGACAAATTGAAATCAAGTATTTTTCTTTTACACATTAAAAAAAAGGGTTCTTAGCCAAGTAGCTGTCAGGACAGGGTTTGTATGTTTTCAGGTAGCCAACTTAAAAGAAGGTGTATCTTTCTGTAAAAGCAATATATTAGCTTTCTTCAGCAGTAGGAACAGAACAATGTACTACTTACATTCAAAAGCTTCTTCACTGTCATTGTCTTCATCAGAACTGATTTCAGCATATTTTGGTTTCTCATTAACTGTGCTACGTTTGCGCTTGTTCATTTTCACACGTTCACAAAGTGGCATGGTGGATTCAATTTCTGCCAGGAGCTCAGGAGGCAACTCCTTTAACACTGACTGATCTATGCTACCTATTAATGGAGAGTAAGAAGAGCAAATGTGAACCTGAACATAAAAACAAGGGCCCAACGCTACAGTCCTCTCTCAGGAATCACTTACAGTGTATCTACTAGTAAGACCACAGTTAGATACACCTGGATGTATTTGATAGCCCTGTTTAAAAGCTGCATTTATTGTTCACAATACAATTAGAAATTAACATGACAAATTGCATACATATCTCCTTCAATAAAATATTTTGTCAGGCATATAAACAAATTCAAACCAATGAATTTCCTTTGTAAAAAGATATCTCTGCTGTACTTCCATAAAATTCAGTCTTATTTCAGTTCATGCTCTGATTTTAATAGGCTTTCTACTGGTGCAGATAAACTAAGGATTCTCTTAACATTTCCCATTTCTCATTAACATTTCTGTTTATTCTCACACAAATTGTTTAGTGTACACTAACCTTCCCTCTTCCAATAAGCAGAGACATCTGTGGCAGAACCTTTGGAATCTTATCACTAAACACAGGCCAAATCATTAAGAATCCAAACTTTGCTCAGATTTTTTCTTACCTCCTACTAGCAGTTTTATACTGCAACCCAAATTTTTGTCCAATTTTGTTACAAAGCAAAATTGAAAGATTTTTATTTAATATAGACAAACATCTAGCTGATTCACATCAGGTTTCTTTCCCACAGAGGTAAACAGGTAGACAACACAACTTTCATGACATTTTGAAACTACGATTAAACTCACATGCAATCAAGAGTGAAGAAGACCTGCAGTCAACATTTTTACAACTGACACAAGGAAATAAAATTAGTTAAAAACTATTTCTTAGTGTTTTGTTTATTTGATGTCTTATCTTTATTTATCAAAGAACCTCCAGCACAGATCTGAATATTTTTGTCTTAAGTGCCCCTCCTTCCCAAGGCATACTATATTATTGGCAGGTCATTTCCTCTCTAAACACATACACAGTATCGTCCAAAACATAATTTTCTGGATGTAATTCACTTTTTAATTTAATTCATTAAATCAACATCATAACTTTCTAAAATGATTTAATTTTTTACAGTAATATGCCAACTTCTAATCCAAAATTAGTCTTTTTCTTCTTTCCTTTTTAAACACCTTTAACTGGAATTAGAAGAGCCTTAATATGAGAAAATAGTTTCTAGGAACAAAATTTTGGAAAAAAAATCTCATGTGTTACTGTTTTCACATATATCTATATGCATAAAAGTTACTTACAAGCAATAAAACTACAGATCAGAAAATTACTTTTCTATAATTCTCAAGTACCTTTAGCAGGTTATTTCATTTAAGTGTATCTTTAGAAAAGATTGTACTTAAAATACTGGGGGTTTCAAACTGAGGTAGGGAAGTAAAACTGATAGCGAAAGTTGTCCTTGCTTCCTGTGGTTGTTCTCATTTATTTAAGTAGCCATCCTTCAGTAGTCAGCCCCTGCCAAAGTTACCTAAATTCTCGATATTGCTTTCAAAAATGCTAGAAAACAATTCACAGTGTGACCCTGTTGCTGTGACATGACTGTTCTTGGCAGGCTGGGCACTTGACTGAAGACAGGCCGAAACACGCCCCCACAGACAGATCAAGCTTCTCTGTGTGTACCAGGAGCTGACGGGATGGCAGCCAGGTCTAATCTGGATGCTGCACAGCTGTGTGCTTCAGAGGTGACGTCCCCACTCTAAAATCTCACATCTTCTTTTATGATTACACAGTGCCTGAAAAGACTTAAGTCATCCAGCCCCGGACTACAAGAAAATTCACATACACAAGTTTTAAGGCAATTTCCACAAGCAAAATTGCCAGAGGGCCTCAGATTCTGGTTCTCTAGCATATATTCTCAATTTTATGCACTGTTGGTAATTTCAGAGAAATCAGCAGGACTACACACATAGCATAAAGTGTACAGTAAATTTGGAAAAACAAAAACATTGCAAAAGTCAGCTACAAGTAAATGAAGAGAAGTTGCATTAAATCCTCAAAAAACAAATAAAAATCGAAGGTTACTACTCTCCTGACCCCTAGGAATATCTATTCTTGCTTTCCTTGTTGATTTATTTTCCCAGGCTAGAACACTACTCAGTCTTTAAAAATAAATCAATTACCACTATATTAATCAGACATCAATGAAAAAAAAAAAGCAGGTGCTTTATATATTAGGAAAAATAACTTCATTTCCCTCTCAGAGGTTCCCAGTTTTTTACGGTCTCCAGTGCTAAATTCAACTAACGCTTGAATTGCACTCTCTCCTGATACAGGTATTTCAGATGACAGTATAAGCTTATCCTTTTTTCTCCTATTAGGCAATATGTAAAGTTTTTTTACTCAAGTAAGGCAGGGAAGAAAAGAGAACAAATAGCACTACTGTGAAGTTCTCTATAGCCTATCTTTAAAGTTTCTCTCACAGTGTTTTATGGAGCAAGTGCGTTACATGCCCAGTTTCCTGAGATGCTGAGGATTCTAAATCAAATCTAATGACCGCACATGTTTCTACAATTCTGATACAAATGGCAAAGGACTCTCTATCTTTTCTGAAGAAATTCAGGGATATTGTGTACTGTGGGACTCCAGTCAAGAGCTTGTTAATATTTATTTCACTTCATTACTTAATTTTGAGTCAGGGCAACTCAATCTTCACTACAAGCTTCCTATTAAATTCATTCTTTTACACCTCTGTATTTTATAACAAAGGTACTGTTCATTTTTTCAGGGTAGCAATAAAATACTTAAAGAGAATCTAGTCCACCCTAAGAATATGCTCACATGGCAACAAACAGCAGGTTATAAAACCTATGGTAATGTCTTTGTAGTTTATGGGATACTTTTCTGAAAGAATTAAGAGAATATACAACACAAACTCCTTTGAAGGCACCTACAAAACCACGAATGATCACCTTCAGTTTTTAGATTTCTTTGACAGGTTTGCTGAGACCTGGTGCCTACCTTTGTGTTTCCACTTTAATCAGTTAGATTTGCTTCTAGTTTGCATGGCTTTTAAAATATGTAAGGACAAAGTAACCTTACCTAAGAAGTTACCTAACAAGTTAGTAAGAACACTCCAATAAATTAGCTTTCTGAAGAACTGTTCTTATTGATGGAGGAACTCCATTTCTTGCAATAAGTGTGATCAGTGTACACACTATGCCTGAAAGGGGCCACAGGCAACAGCGTTCTTCAGACGTCACTTACATACATCTTCAAAGCTGCTGCAACTAATGCAACAAACACCACCCCACCCCAAAAGTACCATCATACCAAAATCTTTGTCTCATTATAAAGAACAGAATGCTAACACACTCCACACCAATGAAACTGAAGGGCAAGTCCGAGAAGAGCTGTAAGAACAATTCCTCTCAGAGCTGCAAACACGAACAGCAACTTCTTCAGTGCTTCTCAAAACAGATGCAATGCCATCCATGACTTAAACATTTGTTCCTTGCTGGAGGACGAACAACTTCTTAATTTTGTTTGACTGCCTTCTTAGAGAAGGTATTCAAGAATTTTCAGCTTTTACTGAATATCCACTGACCATCAAGAAATTTGTTTTCTCACCAAGCAATTCTTGGTAAAACATAATACAGTTAAAGATAAAGAAAATCTCAGTTAAAAATTATTTAGTCTGTAAGCCTCCTGTTTTAACTGGGGAAGCTTTTCAGAGGGTTTCGCCATGTGTAGTACAAAGAATCTACAAATATCTAATGGATGTACTATTTCCCTTCTTCATTTATGGCTTAGAAAAAGAATGGAAAGGCACAGATCTTGAAGCTCAGTCTTGTATTTTTGTTCAAGCTTGATGGGTAATTTCAAATTAGCAGAACAGCCTTTAACTTTAGCTAATATGTACATATACCTATTCTTTAGACAGATACAAAAAAATTACTGTGCCTTGAATTTGCAAATCAAATAGACCCTCCCTGATCAAGGTAGATGAATGCCTGCAAGAGAGGTTGAACATGAGAAAAAAGGTAACATCATTACAGAATTTTACTTAATTTATCCAATGTGGACAGAAACAATCAGAGAGTTCATATTAATTTCACCTGGCTTGATAAAACAACTTCAAACATGCAGCTACAGAGAAGGGGATGATGCTTGCTAATGCTTAGGTGGATTTTCCAGGATCACTAAGGCCACTTCTGCCACAAAATCAAAACCAACACTAATCTTATTTTCTCTGTAATGACTTATCCTTTCTTTTGAAACTATGGAACACAGATGTACAGTTTACATTTTGGTGCAATTTTCTATGAACTAACTAACAAGTTATCAAGATTCAAATACATTTAGAAACCTAAACCCTGAATTCCTAGTTCCATAACTGCAAAAGACAATACAGTGAAAACAATACATATAATTTTTCTTATATGGTTACTTTTAAAATACTTCTGACATCAAAATGGCCTGTTTGCACACATATCTATCACAGCAAATGAACAAGTGCTTGAAGAAAAACTGCCCCTGAAGTTCATTTCAAAACTGTTCTTTACATGGCACACTGAATCCTTCGTGATCCGTTTCTTCCTCACCAGCTTCACTCTCCTCCAAATAATTCTGTGCCCTGAAAAGTTTCAGGAACCGAAGGGAAAACCCAGGGAATCACATATCCACATCACCCACATCAGAAACAGAGTGGAAGACTGAGACGTCCACATCATCACTCAAGTCACTGTGCCCACAGGATTTCTCTGCTGCAATGAACTTGGTGCGAGGGAGAGAAGTAATGTTAGGAGGAAGCATATCCTGCATTATTTCATAGAATCTTCTGGAACAGATATTTCAAAATATTTTTTCCTAATCTGCCCCTACACCGGCAAAAGAAGGCGGCTCTCAGCCTTGGGCTAAACAAAAGAGGAGGTTCAGACTTCCTGCTTGTACTCCAGTCCTTAGCTCTGGCATTGAAAAACTGCACCCAGCCAGGTTGGTGGGTCAGAGAAGAATATGGACACAGCAAGGAAATAATTCCATGATACAGCAGAGGTCATTGTTGTCCACAGC